CTTTGCACAAATGACATTCTACGCTGATGAAGTCTATGGTATGGCGGACGAAACCTAGTCCTCATTTTAGCCGAATCAAGGAATGCGTAAATTGGAAAGTTTTTGATAAAATTAAAGCAATGTAGAACATCCGAAATTGGCCGTCGTCCTCTGGTAAGATCGGGGCACATTTAAACCAAAATTAAAATCTTCACAACAATCTAACCACAGACGATTCATCAAAACCCATTTTTACTACTTATTTTGGATCTAAGTAGCATTTCCAGAATTTTGATGGACCCTGAAGGCCTGGGCCCTTGGAAGCTAATGACCTCGAGGTACTGACGAAGCTATTCCCAGAAGACGCAAATACATTTGGAACAAACCAGTTGCTGGGGCACCTCTTACGCCTTGGCAACCAGAAACACGCTCAAATGAGGTGAGCCTAATTTTATATCAACACAAACGTTGACCAAGTCCTTCAATACTGAAGCTGACTCTTAACTGTAGATGACTTTGTTCGAAATTGGTCGGCAATATTTGCCAACGTCATGACTCGCTGAGCCATACAGACTTTCTAATTGGGGCTGTTTGATTGAGCCCTAGGATTTGTTTGATGAAATTATCTTTAAGCGCAATTTATGCCAAAGATTACACATTTGATGGCTGCATATTCGCCCCGACGCTCTTCTTCAAGACGATTGTCTGGGTCATGCCGTCCGAAAGAGTGAAACCAACCGTTGTGGCAAATTTTCTAGAAGTACCGACACCGGTAAAATGACATGACAATCTACGCTTATCTCCCTTCGCCTCGGTAACAGAAAGACTGATACGATTTGGCCCTTAAAGTATAAAATCTCTACCACAGGTATCCGCTTATTTTTGCGTCTGTCGGAATCCATATTGTTTCTAAAACTCTTGAATGACTATAACTTATAATCACTTTTACTCACCTCTTGACAACACATTTACACGCCTCTGAAACCCGCTTGAAGATGACTCGCGTCTTCAGGCAAGTGAGCCGATCGCAACTGCCGAATTTCACCCAGAAAAGCTGAGTTTGCCCAGCGCAGGGCGATATCTCTGCTTTCTGAAAGACAGCAGTACAACGCTGAGGTGACACGTGATACTTGATGGTACTCTTGATCATCATTTGGCCATCGTGTCTACACTTCTGTTTCTCCTTGTCCGGAGGGCAGCCTGAAAAGTGAAAATTTCTCTTAAGTCGGCTTGCGAAAAGCCTGAAGCATAGCCATATTTTTGGTAAAATGAATGATCACACAATTATGTAACTCTTCCTCTGGAAATATGACCCCAAAAGTTGTTCCATCGTAAACTAGTTGGTTAACATTGTAGATTGGCTGATGCCTTCTTTTCACAAATTCGTCACAACTTCGCGAAACATCTTAGGCCAGCCCTTATCTTGTCCCACTTTTGCAGTTCAGCGATAATTTTGCCAGAGAAACTGTATCACATTTGCATACTTAATGAAGGATTCAACAGGTTTCCTGACATATTCGATTGTGATTTGCAGAAGCCACAATACCCAAAGTTACTAAATTAGACCTTTCCATCCAAACAACGAAGTATATCTCTCCAGCATGGCACATTTCAGACAAATTGACAGCTTCAACAAGTTAGGATAGTTTTCCACTGCTGGTAGGTCCATTTGGAAATGACATGATGGAAATGATGCATAAAAGGATAATAATTAAATTAGCACAAACTATTTGCCCCCAAATCCGGTTAGACTTAACTACCCGACCGTCCAAGCCCGGTTTCAACTTCATTTTCCCGAGATCAAGCGAGGAAAAGACTGGATATTCAACTAAACGAATGATGTTCTCTAAATGAGAATCGTCTGTTGATCAGTAAACGGGAAATGAATTTGACACGGCAGCTTACCACATATTTCCTGGCCGAGGTTGATTCTAGCCCATACACATTGACACTTGGCAGGTCTCTTGGTGAGTCCTATGATACTTCGGTAGGAGATTCCCTTTCTGCCGGCTACGCATTTTCCCTTGACGTGTCGCAGATCCTCCGGACACACTAAACATGTCAAAAGAAAGAATGGCTTTAAGATTCTGAGCTATATTGCATAATGGTGTAATTAAATTTGATGCAATTCGGTGTGGTCATATGCCCCGAGGTTGCAAAATGCCTCCGAACGTCATGAGACAAGAAACTACGGAGCGCTGCCGAATGAGCAGAGGATGTGGAAGATTGGTGCTGGACAAATGAATATAATTTGCTTCAATAAATACGATCAAAAATAACTTATCAAAAGCGATAAATATTTTGTTATTTCAGGTGTCTATACTATCGGTACTTTTGTTGGAAGCGGGTCATGTAGGCATAATTCTAAAAGTATTAAACCCTCTGTCTGGTTGCCTGGAAGACCTGAGCGTCCGCTTCGACCTCATCCCGACGGCGTCAGCACCCACCAAGACTTTGGGCAAAGTTGTGAACGTCGTGGGGTCGAAATGTCGTCATCAAAATTTGTCTGACATAAGAGCCGATCTCGTTAAGATGATGAAGGAGTGGTTGTTGAATTTTTCCATAATCATATGAGTAGACTCTAGGTTTATATTAAATTTAATGTGGCCCTAGTTCCCAAAAGGTATGCGAATATCTATATGAAAGCAAGGATATATTAAATTCAGTGAAAACCTCTATGCGAGATC